AGATTGTTTTAATGGGAAATATGAGAAGATTTAGGACAGGAAGAAAAAAAAAAAACCTGTTCTCATGCTAAAAATGAAGCTAACTCAAAAAGCTAAATGTCACTTTACCTTGCAATCTACTTACACTATCAGCAGCTTAAAATATGCAGTGTAAACCTAAAAAAGAGGAACTCATATGGTACTATAGATAAAAAGTGAGCAGTGTGAGATGCCATAGAAAACATATGAATACTTGTATAAGCATTCTACAGAATGATAATATGTCAGAGAGTGGAAGAAATTAAAACGTATAAAAAATTAAGAGGAAAAATCAAACTGAATTAACATGTACTCTTTCATCCAATACTATCTATTAAATTTTGACATTAAAATATGTACCATATGCTTAAGGGAAGATTACTCATATTTTGACCACATAAACTTAAAAATCACTATTTATTATTACATTACTAATATTTGATATCAAACAAGACATTGTTATGTTTGAAAGCTATTATATTCAAATGAAATAAAGTACTATCTATAATTATAAACTTGGTACTTAATATAATAAAATCCTAGTTAAAATAAAAGACAGTATTCAATTTTGCTGTTATCTCTTAATTTCTACAAATATAATGATTATATTCCTGAAAACTATATAATGCCAAACTATAAAGATATAATAGCTTTGGTATATGTTCTGAATTAAAACTACAGAATCTATTGTCCATAAATTCTATTCTACAAAAATGAAAAATTCAACCGTATTTACCAAAAAAATTGCTCAAACATATGACTCTTAAAATTTCTCCTATGCCTCTATGAGTAGTTAGAAATAATAAATAAATAAATAGGACAATTCACATAGCATTTCCTAAATCACTGGAAGATATATTCTTATCACAGAAAAATAAAGGGTTTCACTGCAAATAAAAATTAAACCACTGCAGAAAGCATATTTAAAGTCACTGAATAGTGCTTAATATGCAATAAACATTATTCAATATATACAGAATAAAAGAGGTTTGTGTATGTGTTATATTTACTCATAATGTTAATATTATCAGATCTTAGCATAGGGGATTCAACACAGGCAGTCGTGAACTTAGCTGGATCAAGTGAAAAAAGTTTCACTGGCATTCTTTCTCAAAACTGTCAGAATTCAGAAGTTCCAAATGTTGACCTAAAGATTTAATTCATATAACTTAACAGGCATCCCACCAAATTCATTTAGTGGCTCTGCAGAAAAGGGGAAAAAAAAGTCACTTCGCAAGTTTAAAAAGACAGATTTGGGAGCAATGGGGAATTATAGCATTTATTACATGTGCATACAAAGCAATTAGAGTATTTGTTTGATTTGCTAAAGTATTGAACCACTATGTTGCTGAGTCTGTTTTGAATGAGAGAAAATAACAGGTGAGTTTATTTACTGCATACTTCAGATACACCTCTGTTTTACAAATCCTTTTAATAATTTTAAACCATTTCTAAATTAAAAATAAATCTCCAAAAAATACCAACACTTAGATTGCACATTTTTAAAGTACCCATAATATATATATTTCCCAGTATATATGGCATATAAAAATGTTTCACATTAATAATTCTAACATGAACCACTGTTTACTTCCTTTTCAGTCACATTTGTTACACTGCTACAAAAATACATGAGTTATTCTTTTCAAAATAATTTTCTTTATATATATATATATATGTATATATATATATATTTACAATTGTGTTTTAGGTTTTGGGGTACATGTGAAGAATATGCAAGTTTGTTGCATAGGTACATACATGGCAATGTGGTTTGCTGCCTTCCTCCCCATCACCCATATCTGGCATTTCTCCCCATGCCAAAAATCATTGGCAATTTTTAAAATAAAGATCAGTCAAAATAATACCAATCTCCTCCTATAAAAACATATTCTGCCTATTAACTATTCTTATCTTGATTGCAAAACTAATTTTTAAAATAGACCACTCTAAAAATCTAATTTTAACAATAGATCACTCAAAAGTAAATCATTTGTTTTCCTTAATACAACAGAAAGCACATTTACATTGTGAAGAACATTCTACGAAATTTCATAGAATGCTTGCTCATAGTGAAAATCTATTCTCCTGCTCAAATCATCTCTATTTAAAATTCATTATGCCACATTTTCACACTCCTAATAGTGGGTCACTAATTATAATTTAGTGAGAATTGGTAAACTTAAAAATACTTCTGAGTTTTATATTGCATTTTTTATTTCAAATGAAAAATATTTTAAATGCACATCCTTCATTTTAATGGAAGATGCATTATTTTAATGCATTCTTTGGCATAACTTTGTTTCTTGGGTCTTTTCAAGAAACAAGACTTATCAGACATTCTAAAAATGAGTATTCAATTTGTAAAAGATATGAACTGACCCTGAATTTTAGACGAAAATAGAAAACAATGGTAGACATTTTGGTCTCAACAAGAGATAGCTTGTCATAAAAATCCATATAATACAGGCAAATATTACTCAAAAGTTTCCATTCAAATAATAAATCCTGAAGCAGACAAGATTCCAGCCAATTAAATATATTGTGTCAACATGACCAAAGTTAGCAATAGCAGCAAGGATACAACTGTAAAGAAAATATCTAAGAGAGTGGAAAAGGCAAATGTAGCACCAACTTCTATAAGGAACAAAGCCATTTACTAAATGAGGCAGTTGTAAAAAGAATGATATTTCTATTTCAGAAAAAAATATTTCTTTACACAATGGTGGTCTGTGTGAAGAAAGAGGAAGAGAAGGGGGAGGTGGTGAAAGGTGTAAGTAGGAAAAACTAAGGCTGCCTGCCTTCCTTCGGTGATGCTGCGAGGGTAGACCCTCTGCCTTACAAAAACCACTGCCAGAACCAAGCTACACAAAACATTTTGGCTGCAAGCCTGTAACAGTGCCAGGCTGTTTTTCATTTTTGTGCTAGACTCCCTCAATTGAGACAGTGTGGGATTGTCACTTTGATGCACATAGAGAACAAAGAATAATATAGTTTGGGGGGGATTTTCTTGCCCCTTTAAAGTCAGGTTAGCATTTTGTTTTCTCTGACAGGTCTTGAAAAGACCCAAGAAACAAAGTTATGCGGAAGAATGCATTAACTGCCTACCAAAATTAACATCAAGTACAATACTGTCAACAGTTTAAAAGCCATGTGAAAGATTAACATTTGTTAAAAGCACACTTAAAAAGGGTCCAAGTCATATAGTTACCTGTTTAAGAGGCCAGAGACCAAGAAATACATGATTCACAATCACATAATCTTATTTAAAAATCTGATGCCATGAAGGCAGACCGTAAAATCCAGGCCAAAAAAAAAAAAATAAGTATTATTATTATTTTTAGGTCACTATTCAGAGACAACTACGTCAGCTGCTATTCTGACCTTGATTTCTCCAAAATTAAATAATCTGATGAAAAGATTATAACATTAGAATCTGAATACTTTAAGCCTTCACAGAGAAAGAGGTGGTAAGTGATCAAAAATTGTTTAAAGAATTAAACCACAAATCATCGAAAAAGTTGCCACAGACACAAACAGGAAAACCGTCTCTTCGATCCTATTCAATTCTGTACTAGAAGTGAAGCTAACATAAATAACAAAGCCGAGTGGGTGCTGCTGCAACCTTCAACTATATATACTATATGAATGTGGTGACTAAAAGACACCAGTAAGCCATTAGCTCCTAGATGTATGACCTTTTTTCCTTTCTAATGCACGAGATGAGTAAAGGTAGAGCTCCATTTTCTACAAACCAAATGAAAAGAAAGAATGAACTGTGACAAGCTCAGATCCCATGCTGGCATACTGTACACTAAGCTCAGCATCATCTAGAAGCAGTATGCTTCTCCCTTTCAATAAGAGGGGGGGAAAGTTGTGCAACTAATATAGTATTGATAAATAGCACCAAACGTCTACTAGTACCTTCCTCCTGTACACTGCCATTGAATCAGCTGTTAAAAGACCAATAGCTGTTACAGAAATAGCAAGAACTAAACCTCTTGCCTCAGATGTTATACATGGAGGCATGGAGCATTTACCACCTGAGCCTATCTAATTTCCGGCAAAATGATCCCCTGCCCAGTTTTGTTCACAGCCACAGAATCTGATAACAAGTCAAGATCCGTGTTGAGAAAGGCAATGGGGGAGTGAGAACATGGGGAAGGAATCAAGTGAGAACAGTGGGCAAACTTCAAACAATATTCACACTTCTCTTATTATTCAAATTAGTGCCCATGCACAGCACTTTAGAATGACAAAAGCTGTGTTAAAGGGCTCAGGTACAATGATTTACTTTGGGTGGTAGGGATAAGTCTGCCATGTAATTAAAGAATGCATTATTTTGCTCCTCACTGCTCGCTTTTTATATTTCTTTTTTCTCTAGGACATACTGCTGATGGTATTACTGCATGGGACACTGATAGTTGCAGGCAAGGCATTCATGTAGTGCCAAAGTGGTCTAGAGAATGATGTCTGGCTGGCCTTGGTTCAACAAGGAATATGAGGCAAAAACAGAAAACAGAAAGAAAAAAAGGTGTAAAGGAAGCCAGGCAATAGACTGTATTTTCTGTTTATTAATGGTGCCATAAAAAGGGGGTGAAATCTGGAAAAAGCAGCCAAGCTAACTCAATTACAAAGAAAGATTAAAGGAGTTATATGTCTATAACTTGGCTGACAACCAAAGAACAATATGAGAGCTGTCCACAACTCTCCAAATAATATGCATAAAAACAAAAGTAGAGAATTATTATCTACCATAGATGTATGAATATATGAAATAATAATGAGATAAAAATACAGAAATCTGACTTTAAGCAGCAGGGAAATAATCTGGTGAAACTTAAAAAAGGCTACTTCCTTCTCTTTAGAAATATCGGTCATCTTACTGACCCACACTGCAGGAAAGACATGATAGAAAATGCCCGCATACTGCCAGAGGACTGAATTGATGGAGATATAAAAATGAAGTCCCATCTGCTTACCTGATGATCCAGATATACTGATGCCCCTTTACATATGTCCAATCTGGCTAATGCAGAGATGACTGTAAGATCACAAAAGTCATAGTTAGCAACTTCAAAATAAACCCAGCCTCAATTCTTAATCTTAAGCTAGTCAAGAACTGATTTGGATGATCTAGTCTGGCTCTTGCATATTCCAAGATTGGAGAAGAATGTGCAAGAGCAGAAATTTTCTGAGTGATTCTAAAATTATTCTTAATTAATATGGGATTTTCAGTCTCTCCAGAGATTTCCCAAATCACCTGTAACTCAATAATAATAATAATAATTCAGATTAGAGATCTTTAACCTTGATCATTGGATGGCCTTCAGGAATCTATGCACTCCTGAATGATATACTTAAAATTTGTGAGTTTATGTAAATAAGTATCTCTGGAAGAAGGTCAATAGTTTGTCAGATTTGCCAAAAAGGTCCATAGTCCAAAAAACTGTCAAGAACCTCTGCTGAGGCTTGCCTAACATCTCAGAGGCAGGTTGGAATGCATATGGATGAGCACTCCAGGTTTGGGGGACACCCCCCCCAGGGAAACACAGACACTTGCAGATCTGGGGTAAATACCTTAAGAACACTACTTTCTGGGAGGGCATATATCAGATTTAAACTGTTACTTAACTCATACAGCCCTGGGATCCCTGTAAGCCATGTACAATCTTGAAGAGAACTAAGATGTTACCATGGATACCCAAGGGTGCCTATCATGACTTTTCCTGTTCTGTGTATATTAAAGTCAGGATTCCTAGGAATATCAATTCTGACAGGGTCAGAACTCACACAGTGACTTACCCAAAAAGTGCCATTTATGACAAGTAAAAAACAAGGTGTGATCAAATCAATAGGAAATGTGGTTCCCAAACAGTTTACATAACAAAAAATTACAGGATTAGCCAAACAAATCTCTTAAAAGAGTTACTTTAAATAGTAATCCCAGAGTCAGAATAGGCTAAATCAGAAAGAAACAAGGTTGGAGAACCTTCCAGGTACCAACTGTGAACAAGATGGGAAAGCACTCACAGCCACAGAGAACATCCTGAACTGAGGTATCACAAAAAAAAAAAAAAAAAAAGAAGAAGGGGAAGCGGATAAGAGAAAAGCTGAAAAGACAGAAATTAAGTAGAAGAAGGGAAAAATTACCTTTTGAGGTGGCCTGTTTGAAATAATAATTATATAGTATATTCTCTCTAAAAATAATATATTTAGACAATCACCTTCTGGGCGTCTACCATGCACTGCACTCAGTGCTGAGGACTCAGCAGTGAGCTAACAGGTCAACAAAGCCCTACTCTGCTGGAGCTTCACTTTGGCGAGTGGGAGAAAGATGCAGGGTGACAAGTATATCAGCAATATCATTTCAATTTGTGATATATAATATGAAAAAATAAACAAGATGTGACCAAGGCATGAGACATCAGTCTATACCCACCCAGCATGTCACAGAAATCTTCACTCCCATTCTCAGACTCTCTAAGAGTCTTACAGAGTTGAGACCAGGAAATGACGTTAGGGACAGCTAGCCACACCTGTGAATTTCAGAGAAGACAGAATAGCTATTCTAGAAGACAGTATCACTACCTCATTATCTCTACACTTCAAAATACACACACCTAGTTTGAGTGGTAATGACACAAGCTCTGCTTTTAGACTATAAATCTGAGAACAAGTAAATGAATGGCATTTCCGTATCTCTTTAAAAACTGGCTGACAATACTGCACACTGTGTACCCTTAATACAAAGAACCACTTTGTATCCAAATTCTTGTCAAATTCCATTTTATTAAAAGAATTTCATTTTTTGCTTCTACAGACAAATCTGATCAACAAGTACTATCAAAGAAAGGGGAGAAGAGGGTATAAGGCAGCCAGCCTCCAAGAGAGCCCCCAGTAATCCTCACCTTAAGGAATTCATGCCTTTGTGTAATCCCTTCACTCATATCAGGGTTGGCCTGAGTCATCAAGAGGATGCAGCAGAAGTAATAGTGTCTTTCCTAAAAGATATTACAGCTTCTTCCTTACTCTTTTGGATCTTCCTGAGGGAAGCCAGCTACCAGCTGCCACATTGTAAGGATACTCAAGCAGTCCTAGGGAAAGGTACACAAGGCATCTTGCCAAAAAGCCAGAATCAACTTAACAGCCATGTGAGAGAGCCATTTTCTAAGCAGATCCTCCAGGCTAGTCGAACTTTCAAATGACTGTCACTCTGGGTGACATCTTGATTGCAGCTCATGAAAGACCAAGTGCCAGAATTGCCCAGCCTGCACTTCAATCCCTTTCTAACATGCACTCTAACTTCCTGTATTCACAAAGCTCAAAAACATTTCCCTGATCTTCTTACATCATGTCTTCCACAGAAGACATAGGTTCAACCAAATCTATTTAAGGTTTAAAAAGAAGTGAGCAAATCAAGAAAGTAGCCAACTAAAAATGAGTTCAAATCTTATAGTAAAGGTATTTTGTTCTTCTGAAACAACTATATAGATATGCTACTAACTGATCCCTAATCTTATAGGTTCTAAGTAGCAAATGGCAGTGGAGTTTCTACTAGAATAGTATCATGGGGTGTTTCTCATGGCTTGAGCTGTTCCTAGCTATTCGCAGTCAGCTTGGGTTCCTTGGCACTTCTGCAAATTAAATAGCATGTGATACATCTCTGTAGGCATCTCAAACTAGCTGTTGCCTGCATCTAAGAACCCTGCAACTAAGAACCCACACTCTACATATGCAAATTCTCCTGTCTCATAACACTTTCATTCCTATCTCATGGTTGACTCTCTTTTCCATTACTAATCCCTCTACCTGTACAATGAGTCCTATTCATTTATGCTATTTCTAAGAACTTGCACCATCCATTTGCTCCCTTTCTTTTCCACCGATTCCTTCTTCTTCATCAATATCACAGTTCTTCCAACCCTGTCAACTATCCCTGTGAACCTTCATAAAATAATAATATAAGCTCGTTGTCTTTATTTCAACTTCCATTCAATGCTTGAATTACCATAACTTCCTTACCCATCTCTGTACCAAAACCACCATTTCTAAGGCTGGCAAGAACCTATTCTCATTCCTCACTCTACTAGACTGTGGCTTTGGCACACGTACCCACCACACCTCTTTGAAACTTTAATGATAAGATTACAAACCTCCAGCCTCAATGAAAGAATCTAGCATCCCAACTTCACACATCATCATCACTCATGCCCTCTGCACCTCCACCACCAGAGATACACAACAAATAGGTATACAGAGGCCATTTCAAATGCTAACACTATTGAAATAGTCTACCTCTTGAGGGCCTAACTGTTTAAAGACAACCAAAAAGATATACGCACTGTTTAAAAAAAAAAAAAAAAAAAAAAAAAAATAAAAAAAAAAAAAAAAAAAAAAAAAAAAAGTGGATTCTACAAACTATCAATATAGGAATATATTTCATTATTTTTCAGTTATTTAAGGAAAAATAAATGTTTGGAAGTCAGAGATTCCAAAAGAGCAGTGCTACAAAACCAGTTTACGACCTCTTAAAACAAACTTCCCAAAGCTAAGAGTTTAATTTTATTATTTAACATTTGCAAGCCAGAATATCTACAATTGCCAATCTAAGCTAGCATACCTGAGTCCTCTTGTTTTGAATGTAAGGTTGTCTATGACATCTGTCATGTCACTAACCAGAAGTGATGCTGCTGACTTGACTTGCGTGGGATGGGAGGGGAGTTGACCCATTCTTTCCTCATAAAGCTACTATCTCTCAAAAGGCTGGCCTCCCAGAACGATGTGAACCAAGCTTCTTTGGTCAGGGGCGTACATAGCCCTTTTCTTTAAACTGCTCAGAAGACATAACTTTTCAGAAAACCCACAAAAAGTGGCTTATTTTCATTAATTTGCTTTGCATTGCCATCACTCATTGTCTTCATTTTTAATTCAGTGATATTTATAGCCAAATGAAATGAATTACAGTCAGTTTTCCTCAATCTGTCTCAGTTCTACTCTTCATCTTCTGGGACCCAATTCATGTGATCCTTTAACAACTATTTATTTCACACCAAACTAGATATCTCCCTAAAGCCTACCAATCTAGCCTCTGGGCATATTTCCTAAATAAAAGCACTAGATCTCTGTAAACCTAAAATTTGCATACTAAAGGAACAAATCAGCTATCAAAAGACCTAGTAGTATACAGCAGTTGCTCACCTCTAAGCAGAATTTAAAATTCATTTCAATTTATTATTTTTTAAAGAAACAGCAATTGACTTTGTCCCTTTGCAAAATACAGTGTTTAATGGGCCTAGTTAAATTAGAGGTGATAGTGTGAAGCAAGTGTTTTAAATTGGTAAATTCTAAACCTTTTAATAAAAGTACATCAGTCAGAAGTTTTAATAAGACTCAGCAGGACAGAGAAGAATTAACAGTCTGTAGGAATCAAAAGGGGGTGATAGGCAATGATAACCTTAAACATTTGCATAGGGATTTATAATTTCATTGCTTAAAGGTTAACGAAATTATATGGTATTTTGTCCACTCTTATCCAGTAAATGATTTCATGCCTTGATTTGTATATATTTACCAACTGAATCATACAAAGAAAAAATGACTCCTTTATCAAATAATCTATTACATTTTTATTTATATACTCCTGGGTGCACAATTATCATTTCCTACTCTAACCAATAACTGCGCCATCTAAAACAAAATGTAAGGTTTCCAAAGCATCTCAGAAAAAAAGAATAAACTCATAATTAGAACTCTGAAAGTACATTAAGTTGTTAATGTGACTGCTTTTTTAAAAATTAGATATATTACTTTATTTACTTTATACTTCAAGTCAACTATTGCTAAATACTTGCTTTTGACAAATATAAACATAAAATCCACCCTAGAGATTGATGAAGGCATTCAGGATACACTGAGGGTGCAGACGGAGAAATGCAAACAGTGCACACAAACAAGTATAACAGGTAAATTAGTAAAAGGACTCTAGGCTGAAGCAATTGTTTTAAAACTTAACGGCAGAAAAATAACACACTACTAAGGCCT